GCTTCCTCCCGCCTTCACACGCACGCTTCTCACATCTCTCCCTCCTCCCTCTGTTCCAGGCTCCTGGGGAGAAAATCCACCTTACAGGAAAATGAAGAAGGCCCAGCATGAGTCCCACCCAGCAACTCGTGACATGGCCCCCAATGCAGCGTGCATGAAGCTCATCGCAAACCAGGAGGAACCAACTCAACCGAGGCCTTGCAACTGCAGGGGCAAGCCCAGGCTGTCCCTCCCAGCCCTGAGCCTGGGTCAGCAACACCCTGGTCTGTTTCCTTCTCCGCCGCTGGCCAGAATCCACAGAATGATGGAACTGCCTGTCCCATCTGTCGGAGGGTGAGTTCTTTTCTGTCGGGGGGAGGGGAGGAGCGCTATCTTCCTGACAAGATGGGAAAGAATGGGGCATTTCAATTCCCATTTGATAGGCGGGAAAACTGAGGTAGAGGAAAGTGTCTGGAATCCCAAAGCGTCTGCTAGGCCTGTGACCACACTGAGCTGGGCTCGAATATTCCAAGCTACTCTCAGATATGAACACAGGTTATTAAATACATTGAAGGGCACAGGGCATTCTGAAGGTCCCCATAAATGTAAACAATGACTTGGAGATGCGAGTGGGTGAGCAAGGCTCAGTCAATGGCTGTCTAAGATGGCTCCATCATTCAAGGGCAGAGTCTGAAATTCTCGCATCTTCAGATCCACATGGCAAATGGATGCGAGCCTTCAGGAGCATTTATACCAAGTCCGAACAGCGGTCTAAAGGAATGGCGAACCTGAATCCTCCCTGTCCTCATCAGCTTCTGAAGGGAACTAAGACAGTTCATGAGTATTCCGGGCTGTCACATGACCTCTGTGTCCCTTCACTTCCTTACCTGTCAGAGGGCAGCAATGATAAACAGCAATGGCTCTGGAACAGAACTACTTGGTTCAAAGCCTGGCTCTGCCCTTGAGTAGCTGTTTGACCCAGGCAATTCACGTCCCTGTCCTGTGCGGAGAACGGCAGTTACAATGGCACCCATCTCCTAGGGTCTCTGTGACATGCAAAAGCAGTAGGTGAGAAGGTCCAAGGAGGGGCCTGGCCCGGGTGAGCCCTCAGTAGACGCTGGTAGCCCGCTGAGTGTGCCTGAGCCCCGGAGGGGTGGGGAAGGAAGCCGGTGTCCCGACCACAGCTCACCTCGTCATTGGTAGAGGCCGTGGGGCTCCAGGCGCTGCAGGGCAGTGCTCAAACCTACATAACTCACTCCTGATTATTCTCCGGCCCAACTGAGCAGCTGCTCCAAGAAGAAATAAAATATGCTTTGCATACTTTAAATGTTTCACTTATGAAAACTGGCAGGGCCGCCTTTCTAAATTGTTTAGCAATAAAGTAACTAACGAGCACCGCTCGACAGTGCCGGAGCCCGCGCGGGTGGGAGAGCGGGCTGGGGGTGGGAGGCAGGGCAGGACGGCCGCCAGTGTGGAGGCTGCCAGAGCTCCCAGAGGCGCCATCTGGGGTTTCTCAGATGGGCACTGGGATCACATCCTGGTGTCCTGAAGTGCAATCGGATTCTCCCTCTAGAAGCCCAGCCCTAAGCGGACAGGGGCAGAGGGGAGGACCCTTCCGGGCTGGTACGTTTTCCCACGCTCCAGGGCGCCCCAGTTTCCAGCTAATCAAGTTAATTGAAAAATTACCCGGGGGCTGAGAGGGAGCAGGCCCAGCAAAGGACCGGGCTCACAGGAGACGCCACTGGGTCTCCAGCAGGACTGGACTTGAACAGCTTGGAGCTGGGAAGCCTGGTACTGGGCTTGGCGTTCCAGGATTCGGCGCTCTCTGAGAGGGCTCACATGCCAGGCCCCTCCCAGCAACCTCAGGGGTGGTACTGCTCCGCCTGACAGATGGGGAAGCTGAGGCAGAGACCTTCCGAAGACATGTGCCGACGGAGTCGGGGGGCACACTTGCCCAGGCAGCCCGAGGCCCCTGTGTACTTCTTCCCAGGATGGCATTCTGCATCATGCCACGGGGTCACCCCATCCCAGATCCCCACAAGTGTACTTCGGGAGGAAGCCCCAGTGCCGACCACCTTGCGATGTGCCAAGAGGCCTCTGTCCTGCCTGGAATGAGATGGTGCCTTCGTACACAGAAGGCTTCGCCGTGGCTGGTCCTGCTGGGCTGAAGAGAGTGCTTTCACCCTTTTCTTCTGGCGCGCTCACTCCTGTTGGGGTCATTATCCCAACTCCCTGGGAAGATTATGTGGTGGGTTCCACTGTCCTCATTAGAGGGCAGTCAACCCATGGCCCAAGGACGGCACCAGGACTCAGCCAGGTCACATAGGAGTCTGGGGTGCACTGAAGTCTGAGCCCGGTTCCCCACCTGAGTTTACTCCACCCACCGTGCAGACTCGAGGGTATAGCCCTACTCTCTGGGCTGTTCTTTCCACATCTGTCCCCCTAGGGACCCTGCCTGTTCAAAGGACCTGGGGCACCATGATTCCAGAGTGGCCCATCGGTCCCCAGAGGCCTGCAAAGCAGAACACCAACCGGGGCCCGACAGCTGGGACCCCCTTTCCATCAGGCTGGACTTTCAGCATAAAACTGAGCAAAGCTGATTAGAAAAATACCCTATTTCACTTGCAAAGTCTGAATAGTGTGGTCTACAAACCAAACATATAATCAAGACCCGGAAAACGTGGCTTCTTTGTTTCTTCCTCTGGGGGCAGGGAGGGGTAGTGGTATGAGGAAGACAAACTCAAATCCCTGAGTTACCACCTTAGAAATTCTGCCTAAGGACCAGCAGTTAGCATAATGGCTATGTCACTGGACTCCCACGTAGTCGACTGTGGTTTGAGTCCTGGACCCCGTGGCTTAAACTCATGCCGGGCACGTGTGCGTGCGTGCGTGCCCAAGATTCCAAGGGGAGATTGGAGGAGAAGGGATTGTGGTGTGGCCATCCCCCCTGGGGGGTGATTTCTCGCTTTCTGTCTCTCTCTCTGTCTGTCTGGCGAGCGCATGCGCCCTATAGCCAAAACCTAATGGCCCCTTAAAGCAAAACCCCCCAAAAAAAAAAAAAAAAAAAAAAGGGACAGAAAGAAATTCTGCCTAAGGACAGAACTTCCCCACAGGAAAACATGACCAAGGCCACATACGTTACTTCTGCTGTGGCAAACACTGAGCACCCCTGCTGAGAAGTGGCATAGTCTCAGTGGTTAGAAACACCTCTGGGCAAGGTGGTCTGGGTTCAAATTCAGCTCCTTACTAAGCAAGCAAGTCACCTCACCTCTCTGTGCCTCAGTTCCCACAGCTATAAAATGGGGGTAATGGTACCTTTTTAATTTTTTTCCAGAGGTTTTAGCCTTAGGGCACATGTGTTTGCTGGGAAAGGAAAGAGACAGAGACAGTGAGAGAGAAAATGAGAAATCACCCCCCCCAGGGGGTGCCACAATTCCTTCTTCTCCATTCTCCTCCCAGAACCTTGGGCACTATGCACATGCACCCAGCATGATTTTCAAGCCACCGGGTTAGGGACCTTAACCATGGTAGGCCATGTGGGAGCAACATAACTGCTACACCGTCTACTGGCCCCAGGGTACCTATTTTATAAGGTTGTTGTAAGGCTGAAGTAAGTGACTACACGTGAAAGTGCAGAGCTGACACGGCACGCATTACACAGTTGTCTCAGGGAATCTGAAGGGACTGGTGCCTGGCCCGCCCTCAGATAACAAACTGTGGGCGTTCGAGTCCCTTATATAAAACGACACGGGATCTGCATTTAATCCACACACATCCTCCCGTACACTTTAAATTGCCTCTAGATTAATACTGCATAAACATAAATGCCATGTACAGTTGTTACAGTTCATAGTCTTAATTTGTATTACATTTTTTCCTTAATATTTTTGATCCAAGGTTGGTTGAATCTGTGGAAGCAGGCCTGATAAGAAAGGGCCAACTGTACACATTTCCGTGGTTTTCCCTCCTGCTCCTCTCTTGAAAACAACTGTCTTCTGGCTGTTAAGGCAGCCCCTTCCCCATGGTACTGTCCCTGGGCCCCCAGGGACTTCTGGAATCTCCTGACCCAAATCCCCAGGTAGGACATTCTTGGCTGAGAGGTCTCGGGGGTCTGAGAGCAGCTGGGATTGGATGCCAAGGAAGCGGCCCGCAGATCCTGATCTGGAGGCTGGAGGCTTGAGCTCAGGAATCTCCCTCTATTTTGCCTCCCTGATTTATATCGTTTAAGGGGGGGGGGGGCTGGTTGTTTACTTTTACGGGGGGGGGGGGGAGGCAGAGATGTAACTTTAATTCCCACTCTGAGTGGCCAGTGAGTTGCCCCTAAACATCTCCCCTGGCCCACTCCACCAACAAGTCACAGAGGTCGAACAAGGCTTCCCCTCTGCACGCTGCCTCCCCGGGAAAGCAGAGGAGAAAACTATGTGAAAAATGCAAACTGGAAAAAAAAAAATACCCAGGACTCTCCACCTCCCCACCCCCTCCTCACACGCACATGCACACACAGCGCTCACGCCCAGTTCCACAGAACACAGGCCCTGTCCCAGCACCGTAGTCTTCCAAACGAGGGGGAGGGCAAGGAGGGAGTGCAGAACTGTTACCAGCGGTGACCAGCTCCCAGGCTGTCCTGGAAGGATTACAGACGACCCTGTCCATCTGGAGGAGGAAATCTGCACAGAACAGCATCCTTCCAGGTCGTTCCGGAGCAGCTCCTGGCAGGGGTCAGGTATTACATGCCCGGCACCTTGTGCAGCCCCGACCCATTTCCAAGCTGAGCTGAAGGCAGCTCACGGCACAACTCGGGGGCTTACGGTCAGGCCAAGGCCCCCTAGGCCTGCGCTCTTGAGGTCACCTCCCCACCTCCCCAGCCCCGGCATCTCCCAGGAGAAAATGACGCCGATTAGAGAACAACAGGCTTGCATTTGGCAGCTGCAGAACCGAGGACTCCAGCTGCCATCAAGAAACAGTGGAAGAGACTAGAAATTCTCCATGCCAAGAGTGTGCAGCAGGTCAAAGGCTGGCTTTTAGTCTACGCTTTATTCTCCTAAGTCAGCCTTCTCCTGCCCTCTCTCCTGAGCTGAATTTCTGGATCTTTCCTCACTCCACTCCGTGAACTTCAGGCCATACATATCCCTGGAACAACTGGGCCTTTGGTTGGAGACCTCGTTCCTGACATCTGAAACAGAATCCATTCAGCCGGGCTGCTTGAGTGGGGAGAAGGATGGCTACGTGAACCCCGGCCTACAAGACAGGCAGGGGCAGGAGATGGAAAACAACACACCCACCACAGCTTGTGGAACGTCTAAAAACTGCTTCCACGGCTGGGCGAAGCAGCAGAAAATAAGCCAACAGAAGAAGTGAGTGTCCTGACCAGGCAGGTGTTTGCACTGTAACTCAGCTTGTGGCAAGAACAAGCCCTGTATCCTGTGGGCTTGTTGCCATGTCTCTGGCAGTGTGGGCTGATCACCAACCAAGCCAGCGAGGTCGTCCCATCTCTAGCGCTGAACGACTGGTAGCTGCAGACAACTCAGGAAGCCAAGGAAGGACCAAAGCAGGCTCTGGTGATTTTCCAGCCTTCACATTCAGGACAACGAAGTCCAAACCCAGGCAGCCAAGCAACAAGAAGACTGGACCTCTAGTCCCTCTCTGGGTGAGCAGACAGTGTACATTTCTGCAAAGATTGTCAACGGGACTGAACAGTTTTCAGCTAAGATCCTTGCAGCAGTCATAAAAATTTACTCAGGATAACCCTTGTGCCCAGGAAATTCTCCCTGCTCCAGATTTCCGGAGAAAGCTATAAATCTCCTTTAAAATTAGCATTTTCTCCGCATGCACACCTGCAAAAAGCTAATTTGGGGGAGGTGGTAGGAAAAAGGCCCCCTCCCATCCCCCACTCAATCCAGCCTAGCAGGTAGGTAGCTGATTCAAGTTAAACACTCCCAAGCAAAGAAATTCAATCTTTCTTTTCACGGCCAGCATGGAATGTCTTGTTCTCTCCACCTTCGCCCTCCTCTTTCTGTAATCTCTTGGCTACATGCACGTGTCTGCAGGACCCTCTTGCCAAGAGGTGAGTACTGTTTATTTGGCTGTGAACGTGACTCATGGACCCAACAGGAGTATGTGAACCTGTTACTGAATGTCTCTGGGTTCCTTTTGGCTTATGGGCTGTTAGGAAGGGGATAAGGGTACAGGGTGGGCAAAGGGGAATGGCATCTGATTCCATAGGCCTGGCCTGGCCTGGCCAGGCTGCTGTGCTAGCCTACCTGCCCTGATAGCGTTCCACAGCCTTTTCCACCTGCCTCACCCCCCTCCCAGGAGGCTGCCTGATGTCTTTAAGCTCCTGCTGAGTCTTCTTTTTTTTTTTTTTTGAGAGGTTTTCGCCATAGGGCGCATGCACTCACCAGATAGAGAGACACAGAGAGACAGAAAGCGAGAAATCACCCCCCAGGGGGGATGGTCACGCTGCAATCCCTTCTCCTCCATTCTCCTCTCGGGATCTTGGGCACGCACGCACACGCGCCCGGCGTGAGTTTTAAGCCACCGGGTCCAGGACGCGAACCTCGGTTGACTACGTGGGAGTCCAGCGACATAGCCATTACGCTAACTGCTGGTTCCCCTGCTGAGTCTTCTTAAACAAACATCAGGACAGCCCTGGACACACAGCTCTGTCTGGGGGACATTCTTCCCTTGGAAGTACCAGGGAAGACTGTGGCTCCAGGGGTTCTTCATCTTCCATCACAAAGGGCTCCCAGTAGGGAAGGAGAGATCTGAGGCTCAGGCGGGAGAATCAGTGCACAAGTCTGTCTTCCCACCCGCCCAGCACTACCTATTCTGCCCTCTCCAGAAGGGAAGGTGCCTCGAGAAACCAGGTCGGTCCTCGTGCTGTGGTGGCTGTCTTCTGATGGCAGAGGGTTACCACGTGGAGGGAACAGATGTAGGACGATGATCAAACAGTAGACACCCGTCAAAGGGTGGAAGATACTATGAGATCAATTTTTGGCTCATACAAAAAGTAAGTGAAGAGTTAAAACTAATAAAAAATTATGGAGACTGTCTGGAGAGGAAGTGAATTTCCAATCTCTGAAAGCCTTCAAGCTCAGAACTGGGCATTCTTAGTCCATGGGTCATCCTTGCCTCAAATCCCGAGCAAACTACTTTCCCACAGCTCCCAGGAAGAAGCAGCTCCATACACTAACCTTACAGGTGCCCTGCCTATCCTTAAAGGCATGCCGATTGGACCAGGGTGGTCAGCTAATCCATGACCTACAAAACCATTGCTTAGGGACCACTCGGAATCTGTCTCCCAAGCATTTAAGAGATTCAACCCCCTAGAGAGAGGCAAGGAGCACTTCCAGGGATGGCGGGGCTGGGTAAAGGCTTGGGGACTGCTTTCCAAACTTGGCATTCCTCAGGCTGTGAGGGGCATCATGCCCCATGACTACCCCAAGGCCAGTTCAGGCTCCCTCCGCATGGACCTCCTGTCATCACTGCTCAGTAGTGCCTGGACCCTGACTCTGAGCCATGGAGAACAAAGCTAAGCTGTCACTGTCAAGCCTTGTGCTATCGCAACAGGAGAAAGAG